GAAATCTCTGAAATTGTGAACCAAAATAAACATTTCCTCTTTCAAGTTGTTTACCTCAGGACTTTCGTCCCAGTGACAGGAAGCTGACTAATACAGACATATTCCATAAAGGAATCCAAAAGCGTCTCTAAATTATATATTTTTACAACAATGTGTGTTATCAAACTTTTGTAATAGTAATACCTTTGTAATATTTGAAACAAACATAAAATACAGAAAATTATAATTTCATAAAGCACTATGTTTAAAAAGAGGTAAATATATTTTTATTTTTAATATAATTTTTTAAAGGGAATAAAAGTATTATATATACACATGCTTATATTTGTAAGAAACATGAGAAGGAAAACTAAGAATAAATGAATAAAATGAGAGAATAATTAACAATAGAATAATGAATAAAAATAGTTACTTCTATAGGAAAAAGAAAGTAATATAAAGGGCCGGGGATTTAGCTCAGTGGTTCTGCTGCCTGCCTGGCAAGCGCAAGGACCTGAGTTCGAGCCTCGGTACCGGAGGAAAAAAAAAAAGAAAGAAAAGGAGAGAGAGAAATAAGTATAAAATCAAACGAGTTAAATAATAAGGTTTTTGCAATTCCAAGTTGAAAAAATCAGCTCTTGATAATGAAAAGTGCTAGAAATAATAACAACTAAAATATTAATGAGTTGTCCTAAGGTCCATATTATAATCTCCAGCTAGAAACAGCTAATTTGGCTAATTATAAGTCTGGAACAAGGAATATACAAGATAAAATTGTAATATTTTGTACCAGAATGCAAGAGAGTTTTCAAAGGACAATGAGTCAAAAGATACAGAAGCCAACAAACAGCTCCCATTGCCAAAGATGATCAAATTTGACCCTCGATAAGCAAGAAATAAAAGAATTAGGGATGGGGGAGCGAGGAAGGGCAAAGAAGGGAAGGGAGGAAAAGGAAAGAAAAGCAAAAGAATGGAACTGATTGAAACACACCAAATACTGTATCTAAGACCTATGAATTCATAATAACAGAAAAAGCAAGGAAGTGAGAGAGCCCTCAAAAGAAACAATAACTTATCAAATAGCCCTGGATATAACTTAAACGCAAACTCTTTGTAAGCTGTCAATTAAAATGAAAGTTACATTTTGTATAACCTTTATTTCAGATAGCAGATAACTCTGATGAGGAAAGTTCCTCATAGAAGAACCTCAGCTAATCAACTGAAGTAATGATAGAAAAATCATTGTCCTGTACACTTAACAGATTTGGGCAATGATCATTAAAAGGTCAAAGGATCCATCTGAGCATCACCGAAAGCAAGACAAGCAAGTGTTTATGTCTCCCACACGAGGCAGTTGGAAACACACAGTACTTTCTATGAAGTTACTGAGCAAAACTGGAACTTGAATGAAATCCATCAGTCGGGCTAAACTTGCACATACAAAAATGAAGGGGTAGGAGTGTGAGTGAACTGACTCCTCGGGAAACAAACAAATGTTGGGGAACTATTCAGAAAATGGACCCAGTTTTCCAAACAAGTCAATAGAGGGAAAAAAAGAAAAGAAAAGCAAATTGGGATTGCTGTAGACTTTATACTGATTTCTTTTCAACTCTACCTACTGTAAGGCATTTTAAAGTCAACTGGGGATATTTCATTATAGATTGAGTGTCATATGATGCCAAGCTCTGATAACCGCAGCACGGCTACTTAAGGAATGGACCACTTTTTAGGAAACACATATTTTTAGCATGTAGAGTGAAAATGGCATGTTGTGAGGGATGTGGGTTACATGGTTAGAATGCTTCACCAAAGAGGAATTTTTAAAATAAAAAAGACAAATATAGCAAAACATTAAAAATTGGTGCATCCAGATGACAGTCGTATGTGAGGTTTAGTGGATTCTCAGGTTCAATCTGGGGTACATTTTTTTAGCATGAAAATCGGCAAACACATAAAAACAGACTTATGTCTGCCAGGTAAGGTAGGCAGGTTGCAAACAATTGTCATAGATTCTTCCTGCCCCAGTGTGGATGTGCCATTGCAGCTCTTCCCGTCCAGGGAGGCAGTCTTTCCGCCATCCCTTGAATCTGGGCAGCAGTGTGACTGCTTCAGTGAAAGAACAAACATGACACAGCATGACAGGGAGAGTTCTTGGGCGTTGGACTTGTGTGTCTCTGTCCTGCTGAGAACTCTGAGCCTACCTGCTGGAAGGGTCACATGGAAAAGAAATGAGATGCCCTGGCTGTCAGTCTGCCAACCTCTCGACATATGAGTGAGGGAATTCTACACCATCCAGCCTCAGCCAAGCCACACACTGGCTGCATCTTCATGTGTAAACCTAGGTAACCACTCAGCTGATCTCAACCCATTTGTCAGTCTACAAAATCATGACTGCTTTTTAATATGCTGAGCATTATGGTGGTTTGTTACACAGTAACAACTAACTGATGCATAAGGCTAAACCTATAGCAGCACTACACACGCATGAATATGCATATTCAAGGGGCTAGTTTCTTAGCACTGAGGGGTACATGGGATGTATTCAATAGGAATGTCTGAATGGTAATTCCATGACGCTATAAAATGGTATGTATAGATACTGCTCTAAAAGCAATAGAAGGCTTAGATAAGTTACTTCCTTTTGTACATAAAAAGTGCTGTCCAACCAAGTTCCATAGTTACTCCTTTGTAGATGCAAGTCTACAGATAGACCATGAAAAGCTTCTAATTTCTTTCCCTCTGGAGGACTAAAAGTCCTGGCTCTACCTCTGTTCAACGATGACTAGACGCTACAGACAAGGTCTCTGAGAGTGCTGCCACCTGGCCGGGCCTTTCTTTCCCGACTCAATTCAGTATTCCGAGGAGCCAGTGCATGGAGAGATCACACAGCCCCCAGGGAGGCCGGCTAACCTTCCCTCCTTCGGAAGACATACATGAACTCGGCTTCCAACGGAGCACATTTCATTTCATTTCTACCCTGAGAACAAATCATATTTTCTCTTTATCATAGGTTTTACTTATAAATGTTGGATCCAGGTATAGAGATTAATTAAAGAGTGATAAAAGCTGTACAGAACTCACTGAGATGCATATTTTGCTCAAGATATTTTTCACTAAAAGAAAATATTAAGGAACTTTTACTTTGAAAAGCTCCAGCTAATTGCAACTGGCCAATTTAACTGAATCACATAAATTTAAAATAATCCTCCTAAGGATTGCGTAGCTCATCTCTATTTGTGTAGCAAAATACTCTATTCATAAAGGAAAAAATTCAAGATGATTAAATATTTTCCTATAATAGTACCTATTTATTTGGAAAATACTTTTAAGTTAATTTGATACTTGAATTTTTGATGAATATGGCTATTTTAAGTATGTTAGAATTACTGTTTGCACAAATGCCACCCACATTTACATGGTAATTTATCCAACCTCTGCATTCATAGTACAGTTATAATTTTTACAAGTACATTTTTAAAAGCCCAAGAATATTATGAGTAAATGACAATACCTTATACTATTTTGCATTAGTAAACTATTATCTAGTAAAGGTTACAAATGCCTGTTTAGCCTAAGGGTTTAGAATCGACATCATTCAAAAGGTTTAATGTCACAAAAAAGATGATTAAATACGGTGTTTGGGATGAATGCCCTTCAAAAACTAAGAGTAATTGGCAACATCTGCATTATTCGTGAGAGAAAGCTTCAGAAAGACGAATGAAAACCTGTGGCTGATCTCAAGGCTGGTGTACCAGAAACCATGCCACTATCAGGCTTCCCTTTTGGGGGCCATTTTATCCCCCTTCTCCTCCTGAGAGTCCTGCCTTCTCTTTCTGAAAGGGGAGCACACAGAGCTGAGGAAAAGCCATTACATTCATTATCAACCTACGTGATGCCAAAATGATATTCTTTTTGGTTAACAAGGGGTGGACACAGATACTGAAGGCATCCAAAAGAACATGATGAAGATAATTTGCGAAAGGGATGCTGGGAATAAAGTTTTCTCATCTGCACTAATGGAGGGGAGCTTGATGGGGTAAGGAGGAGCAAGATGTATGAATTCTAACACCCTCTGTAGCTATAAAGTGCAGTGCTCTGAATGCTTAATAGCTGAAGGCCTTTTTCATCCTTGGCACTATGAGGCCAGTGTGGGATGAGGTTATTTGTAGGTCTCACAAGTTTTTAAAAGATACATATTATAAAACCACATACTTTGTCACCATGAAAGCTCTAATTTTAAATGTGATTAATATCTCCATAAAGGAGTGCATATTATATGAAAACGAAAAGCTTTATAAAAGCTGGGTAAATCAAAAAATATAGAAGTCCAGCTGGGTTTAAGCACATGTGCGAGAGAGTGTGGTTTGAAAGGGTGTGGTTTCCTGTCTTTGGATTGTTTGGAAACATTCTGACAAAGCCAAATTCATTTCTCTGATATCCTGAAGGCATCAAGGAACTCGTTCCAAAAATAGCATAAAAGCATGATATTCCTATATGTGGAACCAGTTTAAATCAACTCAGAAATGTGATAAACACCCAAAAACTTTCAAACCCATTCTCTAATTCTTTAACTTCCACGGTTAGATGGACTGGGAAATTCAGCAACACTTCAAATACTTTTCATTCATTTGTTCATTTTTTTTTTTAATCTACTCAACAAATATTTATGTACCTTTTATTATGTGCTGGGAAGCTGGAAAAGGAATTTCTCTTAAAAATTTTCCAGGTTTATTTTTTTCTTTTTTAACTTCAAACTCCCTCTCACTCTGGTCTTTCTTACCTACAATGCTGCATTTAGATTATTCAAAAAGACCTGTAAACCATGGCACTAGAAGTAGAGTGTTCTCTAAGTGAAGGAAAACACACAACCCCACACTGTGATGCTGGAGGAACACGTCAGTGTGTGAGCTGCTTGATTCACTCCTCAAGGAAATACGAGGTGGGTCAGAAGTGCATCAGGAAGTCACTTGCAGCTGGACTTACTTGCTGCTATTGTTAAGTTATTCACGGATGACCAACTTTTAGAGTCAACCCAGGACATTGCAAAAACAGGCAAAAAGACATCACAATAAAACACTGCTAATCTGAATGTCCCCCAAGATTCATGTGTTGAAACTTAATCACCAAGGTGATAGTATTAAGAAGGGGGATCCCCTCTAGGAGGTGATTAAATCATAAGGGTGAAGCCCTCCTGACTAGAGTTGTTGTCTTTTCTGCCACATCAGGACACAGCACCTCTGCCCTCTGAAGGAGGCAGCACCAAAACAACATCTTGGAAGCAGAGAGGAGCCCTCACCAGTTGCTGGACCTGATTATGTCTTGGTCTTCAGTTTTCCAGACTTCAGAACTACAAAGAGTGAGTTTCTATTGTTTATATATAAGTTACTCAGTCTGCGGTATTTTGTTATAGCAGCACAAACAGGCTAAGAGAAACACATATAATAAGCAATTAGAATACATGTTACTCCTTCAACATATAAAAGGAGAATATGTGAAATTATATATCATTCTGTATTATTTTCCCTTCTCTTATATAAGTGCAATCCTATATTATTTTCCCTTCTCTTATATAAATAAAACAATAGAACTAGTTAACAGAGGCAATCAGTATAACAGTGAGACTAACTAAATAATGTGAGAAAATATAACAATATTTTAATACTTGTTACTGTTTGCTGATATGGCAATTTATTTTAAACCTTTTAAAATTATTGGCTATTTAAATTTGTAGGCTTTATGTTGTGTATCCTCAAGATATATAAATGCAAGGACTCTTAAAAAAGAGAGAAATACAATATGACTAAACAGTACCTACTTGTAATAACAACATCAACAAATAATGGCCTATTTCTTTCTGTCTCCTAATAAAACAGGATATTTTATTCTTTTTGTGTCTGTCTCTAATAATCTTCTCGAACTGCCAGCAGGAATTAAGAAATTTCTCTTTTCTTTTGTAGTGCTAACACTGAAAAGTCAGATGCAAAATTCACACTGATGCAGCTCTGCTCTTCTGAAGCCCACAGTACACTGACGTGTGGTGTATGTCCAATGTGAGAACATCAAGCTAGACATCTTCTCAAAACCCAACTGAGTGTGGAATACATATCCTCTTACTTCCTAGCTTCAGCAAGTTTGTAGGCTTCTGGGAATTTATGTTCAGATCTCCAAAAATGCCTATCCATTTTGAATCTACATTTTGTTTACTAACCAATCAGGTTGTTTACAGCTATAAATTCATCATACAGTCTATTCATGTCTAAAATATCTACTGTTTTATAAAACTTTTCATTCTGAAATTTTATAGAAAAGGCTGCAAAGAAATGTACCAGGAAGTCTTATGCCCCTTGCACCCAGCTTCCCCCAGTGTTAACATTTTACATGAGTCTAGAACAATCCCAAAACTAAGAAAATGGCCTTAGCATAATCTAAACGCAGTACTCAGATTTCATCAGTCAAACATGCACTTGTGTGTGTGCATCTACAAAATTTTATCAGTACTGTGTAGTCTTGTGTAACAACAACCACTACCATCAACACATTCAACTGTACATTACCAGAACACTCCTTTGTCACCCATGTAGCCACACCCATCTCCTCCCCAAATCTCTAACCTCTTGTAGCTATTAATCTGTTTTCCATCTCTATAATTATGGTTCCTAATAAATGTTAAATAAATGAAATCATATAGTATGTCACTATTTGGAATTGGCTTTTTTTTTTTTTTAACTTGGCATGATTTACTGAGGGCTTATACAAGCTGCTGCATGTGTCAGTGGTCTGTTTTTTTGTTTGTTTGTTTGTTTGTTTTTATCAGAGCAGTGTTCCATGGTACAGATATATCAGTTTGTTTAACCATTCATCCCTCTGAAAGACATTCCAGTAGTTTCCAAATTTTTGCTATTACGAAAATGCTGAAACATACACCCATGGGAAAATAACTTACCACTTATGTGGAATAAGTGCCTAAGAATTCAGTTGCTGAACTGCACGGTAAATCCACTTTTGATTCTGGAAAGAACTACCAAACTGCATTCAGGAGTGGCTGCCCCCTTTTACATTCCTCTCAGCAGTGCAGGAGCAATCCAGTTTCTTTGCATCCTTGCCAACACATACCATGTTCCCGTGTGTTTTTCATTTTAGCCATTCTGTTGAGCTTTCATGTCTGCTTCCTTGGTGGCTAATGATGGTGACAGATCTTCTTGTGCTTACCTGCCACCTGTGTATCCCCTTCAGTGAGATGTTTATGTCTTTTCTTCTTTTAATACGATTGTTTACTTTTAATTGTTGTTTTAAAAATTATATATTCTAAGTATCAAGACTTTGATGGATAGAAGTGTGCAAATATTTTCTTCTTAAGATTTGATTTTTCATCTTCTCAGCAAGCTTTCTCCCCCACCAAAAAAGGTTACTTTTCCCTCAGGAAAAGTTCTAATTTACCAGTTTTTTCTCTTATGGATCTCGCTTTTGGTGTCAAGTCCAAACACTCTTCACCCGATCTGAAGTCCTGAAGGTTCTCTAATGTTCTTCTCTAGAGGTCTGATAGCTTTGGGGTTTTTACATTTAAGTTTGTCCATCATTTTTAAACATTCTGGATGGATGTTAAGTTAACCCTCTCTTTCTCAGGGAAAACTGTTTTAAGTAAAATCACACTTTGACCTCATAGAAACCAAAGTTCCAGTTCGGTTGAGAAAGGCCAATTTAACTTGTTTGCCTATTTTTGGTAACTTTAAAAAATATTTCTTGAGTTGGTGTAGTGGCAGACACTTGTAATCCCAGCACTCTGGGTGGCTGAGCCAGAAAGATTGCAAGTTCAAATCCAGTGTGGGCACCTTACTGACTTATTGAAACCCTATTTCAAAATAAAAAATCAAAAGGGCTGTGGATGTAGCTCGGTGTGAAGGCCTTCGGTTCAATCCCCAGTACCACAATAAAAAAGGAGCAGTCATATTTCAAAAGTGGAATCATTTTATGTCCACATGAGTTTCTGTCACAACCTGCACACAGTATCAAACAATTCAGATCCATTTACTTCATCCTTTTCTAGGTTCCTTATAGCTTTATTAAGGATCACCAAGCACTTCTGAAGAAATGGCATATAAATTTGTTTTACTGTACTTCTTTTCTCCATTCTCACCCTCAATGTATCTTCAAATTAGAGAACATTTTGTTTGTCTCAAACTTTGAAAATAGGATTTGATGACAGGCCAACATTTTAGCATCATGGAGTTAAAAATGGAGGCTCTGTCCTACATGTCTATAAATTGAAACTTCACTCTGTACTTCTGCATACTTTGATGAAACTGAAAAGCGACCCAGCGCTTGCATGCAGAAAGTGTCATTATTACCTGTAAACAAATCATACTTTTAAAAAATGTGCTGTGTTTGAAGTGAGCAAGGTGCTTATTAAACAAGATCATTTTAGTTTCTTTAGTAAGAAGTTTATAGACTGAAAGGAATATCCAAAATTTACAATTGCACCATCTGCTGAGTATGGAGGTAGATAAGCAAAGTGTATTCGGATTTGGGCAAAATATCAACAATCTTTTTTACTTTATGGTTTCTGAGACTTCATCAGAATCTTCACGGTAACCAAAAAGACAATTGGAAATTTCATCTTCCAAATCAAAGTCCCTAAATGCTGGGGAGAACATTTTTGAGAGGCTGAGGCAGGAGGACTTCGAGTTCAAGCCCAGCCAGGACAATTTAGTGACTTAGGGAGACTCTGTCTCAAAATAAAAAATTTTAAAAAGGGCTGGGAATGTAGCTCAGTGTGAAGGCTCTGAGTTCAATCCCTAGTACCCAGTATCAGAAAATAAAATAAAAATTAAAAAGCAGTATCATTGGTGAGACCTGACAGAATCATCTCTATGCCGTAAGGGTCCAGGGCAGCTGTTGCCAGGATTTCCTCTTCTGTTTGCCAAAGGGCACTTTTTGCAACCTCTGCAGCAGAGCTCAGTTTCACAGAGCAGCAGAGGAATGAGATGGCAGTGTGGTTCATCTGTGTGGTGTGGCCAAGACCATTAACAGCTGCTGCTTCCAAGTGAGTACTGGTGTCCTTTGGAGAGAGGCAAAAACTTTTGTTTTAGAAGTTCTTGCTTATCTGAGCCCAGATTAGTGAGATTCAGTCTCCTAAGAGCGCTGCCTTCCCCATCATGCCCAATCCCAATTTCTTTTCTATACACTCTGTAGCACTCTCTGTTTATCACTCATTTCCCTAATCCCATGTACTGTACGTGGCCTTGCATCTGTCATTGGAATTTAGCTTTCTCTTTCAGTGAGGTCTGGGGCATGCTGGCGTTCTCATTTTAATTATCTGAACTCTTGAAAATATGATCAGAATTTCCACCATGTTAACCTTTTAGCTAGCACTTTGGGAAGGGGATGCCAGGGATTGAACCCCAGGCTTTGTGCATGCTAAACATGTGCTCTACCATTGAACTATATACCTCCAGCCCTGCTAGAACTATCTTAATACAAAGCACAACACTTCACAAACAGGCAGAGTCAAAACTGGGTTCTTAATGTGCAGGAATACAAAGCCCTCAATTCCACACTTAAGTCACGTGGTTCTGAGTGATGCAACAGTGCATGATCTCTTACTGTGAACCGCAAATCATAATGCCAACATCAGCAGTGGGATAAAAACTGCTAGTTTAGCAGTGATGGGAGCTACAGAGGACAGATAACCTGTGTAGTATCCATCTAATGCCAAAAATAATGCTGCTTTCAGTCTCTATTTTCTGTAGCTGATTTATGGGTTTTTGTATTCTCCCTCCTTTGGACCTGCAGCACCCACTGCCAAAAACCTGTTCTTTCTGTGTCCTAGGGAATGGTTTCCGGGGAAACAGAATTTTCAGTGTTAAAATCAGGACGGTCCTGGGCAAATGAGGACAGCTGGTCACCCTAGTTATAGATACAGAGAGCCATTCTAGAGAGTCCTTAGAATAGGAATGCTCCTCTCACTGTCTGGCCGTCTCTCCCTGGTTGTGTTAGTTCTAGAGGACCAGGGAGTGAAGTTTGAAAGAGAAGATAAACAATTCTATCTCCTTCTCTACCACTTGCCCATCCATTCTTTTAGAAATTGAAAACTGTATGCAATCTCCTGGTTTTCTTCTTGCCCCAGAAAGGAAGAGGTAGAAACTGGAGGGGCAAACTAAGCTAGGAATCCTACATTGTACATGCTTTTTAAAGGCTCCGGATAGTTGCAGTCTGATGCAGTGGAGTCAGGTAGCCCGCAGTTGCATCCTGTTGTGAGTATAAAGCATTACTCTCTTATTCATTCACTGTGTCCTTATCAGCTGCCACACCATCTGCTAGCTGTTTGAGATACAAGAAAGACTAGCAAGAAGTTCTTAGTCCTCAAAGAACCTAAAGTCCAGAGGATGACATGATATGAGGTAAGAGAAAAGGTTATTTTTCTATACATCAATAACGAATTTCCTAAGAATTTACAAAAGTAATTCCCTTCACAATAACTACAAAAATACCTAGGAATAAACTTAACAAAGAAAATAAAAGACCTCTACAATGGAAATTATAAAAATCCATGAAAGAAATCCAAGACACAAAAAAATGAAAAATCTCCCATGTTCATGGATTAGAATAATTAATGTTGTTAAAATGTTCCCATTACCCAAAATGATCAGAAGATTCAATGCAGTCCCAATCAAATACCAATGACATTCGTCACAAAACTGAAAAAAATCCTAAAATTTTTATTAAAGTACAAAAGACCTTGAATAGCCAAAATACTCTTGAGCAAGAAGAACCAAACTAGAGGCAACATAATACCTGATTTCAAGAATACTACAAAGCCACAGTAGCATGGTTTTGGCATAAAAACAGTCACCTAGACAAAGGGAACAGAATAGAGATCTCAGAAATAAACCCAAATATCTATCACAAACTGCTTCTTGGCAAAGGAACAAAAAACGTGTAGTGGAAAAAACATAAGTGTCTTCCACATTTGGTGTTGGAAAACTGGATGTCCATATGCAGGATATTGAAATTTGACCCCTGTCTCTCAACCCAGGCAAAAATGAACTAAAAAATGGACCAGAGACCTAAATGTAAAATCTGACACTAAAATGGCTACAAGAAAACAAAGGGGAAACACTTTGAGACACTGAGATGGGCAACGATTTTCTGGTTTGAACTAAAACAACACAGGAAATGAACACAAAACTTGACAAATAGGATTTCATTCAACTAAAACACTACCTGGTAAAGGAAACAACTGACAGAGTGAAGAGAGCCCCTGTGAAATGGGAGAAAGTACTTCCAACTACTGATCTAACAGTTAATATACAGAATATATAAGGAACTCATTAGAACTTAACAACAAAAAACAAGAAGTTCCATTTTTAAAATGGGCAAATAATCTGAATTGACACTTCTCAAAAAAAGAACTACGAATGGCTAACCAATACATGAAAAAATGCTCAGTATCATCAGCTGCCAGGAAATGCAAATCAAAACTACAATGAGATACCATCTCACCCCACTTAGAATAACTATTGTAAAAAAAAACAAAGCTCCCCAAACTAAAAGCTAACAAATATTGGTGAACATGTGGAGATAAAAGGACTTTCATACACTTTTAATAGGAATGAAAATTAGTACAACCATTAGAGAGAACAGTATAGATGCCCCCCCCCCAAAAAAAACCCCTAAAAATAGACCTACTATATGATCCAGCTATCCCACTTCCGGATATACATCCAAAGGAAATAAATCAGTATGCCAAAGAGATAGCTATATGCCCATGTTTATTGTGCTATTGTTCACAATAGCTAAGATTCAGCCTCAGTGCCCGTCAACAGGTGTTATGGACATAGAAAAGGTATATAATCTATATGAGCATTATCCAGCCATAAGGGAGCATAAAGTCCTCTTATTGGCAGCAAAATAGATTGAACTAGAGGACAGTATGTT